AAATGATAAAGTATTTGAATAGACGAATGTCTGAATTAAGATTGTCTTGCATTAACCTTGCATTATTTTTGTCCCTTGTTATTGCTACGTTAATTAGAAATAAAATAACCAGAAGTAAAAACTATACCTTTATATCCTGCAATTTGGCTGAAATTTGTTCCACTGCCAAATTTCTTGTTCCTAAAAAGGTAGATTTACATATTGGACACACATGCAGCTGTACTCTGCATACATTACATATATGATGTCCATTTATACATTGAACTTTTACACCCTGTGTTGCTTCTAAGCATACGGGACATTGAAGCAATTCCTCCAGTACATCACACCACTAAAGCAATTAGAATTAGTCGTTCAGTACAATAATTATACAATTACAGAATACACGTAGTCGATGTTTCGGCATAGCAATACAGATCTAATATATGCTATTTGCATTAATCATTTGTATGATCTGTATTATTCAACATTCTTCTAAATGTCATTCTTTTAAGCATTTTACTCGCGTATTTCCATTTAAATACATTTTAATCACTTTTAATATATTTATTTCCGTTAAACAATGTAATCGCAATCACATTATCAGCTAAATTCGACTGATAACGTATAAAGACATAACATGACTGTGACAATAGAAATCTCACAAAAAAAATCGCGCTAGCATAAAAATATTAACGTATATAATATCATACCATAACTCGAATTTCCTCCATCGTGATTGCGCGTATTTGGAGTTTGAAATATAAACAAAAAGCGATACTATCTTGAAGACACAAATGACCGGTAATCGAAACAAAACCAAGCCCTCTTTCGCGGAATTCCCCGTTTTTTCTGCCGACGCCACGTTCAATGTTACTCAGGTTTGCCACAATTCCGCGATAAAATAAAACTGCTAAAAAAGCATTTTTTGTTTGGTCAATTCGTAAAATTCTTCCTTCTGATTGAGATCAATCAAATGCTTCAAAGAATTGTAATGAGACTTTTGTAGACTTTGACAGCACCCGAAGAATGGATAAAAATGAACATCACTTAAGATAAGATCACACGATGCTCAATTCTCGAATGATTGGACGTGTTCAAGTTGACAAAGCGGTTAGCCTGAGCAAATGAACATAATTGGTTGTTACTTATAAATCTAACCAATCATATACAATCACTCGGTAAGCATGCTTAGCCGCTTTGCCGTTTTGAACTCGCCCATTGCTTCCTTTTGATGCATGCAGTCTGATTTGACGCATGGCATATAATATTTTTTCCATTATGATTTGACGTTTGACAGATAACTACAAATTAGCACAATTGTCAATCGTCTACTCAATCACACGACTATCTTTAATCTTTTGAAACAAGCTGTGAAGTATAGTACATAAAGGAGAGTGTGCGATCCATTTGACGCCACAAATGTTTCGAAGCTTTTGATTGACCAATCGAAAGAAAGAATTTTATTAATTGACTAATCAAAAGATGCTTCAAAGCCTTTTGTAGCATCAAGCGAATACATCTAAATTAATAGTGTTTTTTTTGTTGCCTAATCTTACATTTAAGAGCATTTTAACTTTTTAGATACTTTAGATATCACTTATAATGATTACTTTATAAACGAATTTTTGAAAAACGTAAAATTTTTAATTTACGCTATATATAAATAAATAAAAATGCCGTATATGTAACTTTTAAGGAATGCTGAAATGGAATATCTACTAATTAAAACAATTTTTCTCATATTTTTGAAATGACTTTACAAAATTACAAATCTTTATAAATTTAACC